CCTACACGAGAGCATTGGAAAAGATTGTCACTTTCCAAGACGGCAGCTGTAGCGGGGCCAGAAATGCTCTTTACGTTTTCGCCTTCATCCATACAAAAGCCACCTCCGGTTCTTAAGAATTCTTCAGAGAAATCGCCCTCAAGACAAGGATTACCACGTTGGCTCACATCTGGTCCATCATTATCATCATTATCTGGACAAAATCCTCCACCTTTTTCAAGGTAGTCCTCGTCCAATCCCTCCCCACGAGACAAATTTTGGGCATTATTCTCTTTCGCTTGACCAAGACCAGAAGCCACAGTTTCACATAGATCCTGACCACCCCACGTTAAATCTGGTTGTGATGGCTCTTCATCAAAAGATTTTTTATCACCCTGGTCAACTGACTGATCCAGATCCTCTATTTCGAAGTCATTTGCGGTGTAGTCTACAGGCTTCCGCATTCGCGTAGACTGAGAGACATGGAAAGATATAAAAGTTAAGCAATGAGGAGAGAAAGCTTATCATGAATCTACACAAATGATGGTCTATACAAAAGACTAGTTCGACAAACTTATGTCGGGCAAGGCTGTTTTATTCAGGCGCATTCAAAATGCTTATTATACTGCTATTCTTATTTTGTTCTACATCCTGAAACTGATTATAATGCATCAAAGACAAAGACACAAATTGGCTTATTTTATGTGCCTCAAAGATTAACCATAGCATAAGGAAAGTTCCCATCTCATTCTGTGAATTGAACTTGATTATTATAAAAAAAAAAAAAAAAAAAAGGGGTGATCCAACCTCAGAAAAGGAAGAAAGTCAAGCGTACCCGTCGCAATTCTGGCGGCCCTTCTTGTTTCTCCATGTGAACTTCCTCTACGTCATCATCATCACTGGAGCTCATTTCAGACACTTCGTAAGGGGGACTTCCTTTTCCCTTTCTTCTTTTGGTTGTCCTGCCTCGCCCTCTTCCTTGGCATCTTCCGTGTGAACGTGATCTTCTGTTGGTACCTTGTTTGCTATCTGAGGATATTAGTGATTTAGAAACAGCTTCATCCATAGGTATCTTCCGTTTCCTTGATGGCTTGGGAGTTGATTTCGAACAATAGTTACTCTGGTTCCTGACAGCACTTTCCTCTGTTCCCTGTGGAAGTTTCTCCAATTGATCATCCCCAGCTTTATCAGCCGTTGCTTTTCTTTTGTTTTTACTTCTAGAGACTTCTTGTGGAGCATCATCTGTTAACTCCAAGGACTGATTTCCCGTAATTCCTTTAACAGCTTTCTTTATTCTCTTGCTACGAATTTTTGCAAATCTTTCATTGAATGTGTAAAATGCCTCCAAACGCAGTTGAGTCTTCGCCAGAAAATAAACAGTGCACGTCAGCATCTTCTTTCACAAAAATAGTAGAGAGAGACACACACACACACACATGCGCGCACACGCGTGCACATGTGTGTGAGAGAGAGAGAGATGTCCCCAACCTCATGCTTGTTGTATTCCTTCAGAACAGGTAGTAATAATTCATCTGCCTTCTGGCTACCCCAACCAAACTTTTCCCAGCATAATCTGCGTTCCAAGCAACTGGTCAGAAAACCTACGCATTTTAACTAAACAAAGCAAAGCATTCACTATGAGAGATATTTTGAGCTCTAATCCAAGTAAATTATTCAAGTGGATGTATCTATTTTCACTCGAGATTTTGGATAAATCATTAGGTCAAACACAGGATCCAGCTGTAACTGAGGAGTTCTCTCTGAAAATATAGTTCCTAGAAAGCTGACAATCGCAATTGCAATCTTAGAAATAGTTAAAATAAAGTAAGTCCAGAATTCAGAAGTACAGCAGGCATGCACAAAAACCTAGAACAAGTTCGTTCAAAAATGAACAAAACAATAAATGAGCAATTGAAAAAACAAGAAATTGAACGGTCCTTGAAAACTCAAAAGAATCCAAAAAGCCATCGTCACGGCTGAAACACATTGATCTGTTCTGCTAGAAACATATTGATCACGATATTCACAACTTGCCTTATGCTTACTCATCAAAGAAAAAAAAATTCCTTGCCTTTGCCTCATCTGTCCAAATTGATCTATGAAAATTAGTCCATGTTTTTCAGTAAGTGCAATTATCAGTTCGTAACAGAAACCTTAAGAATTAGTGCCTCTCAGACTGACTACAATCTTTTCCATCCTCGAGCCCACACTTTGTGAAAGTTAAAAGTAGGAGATAACTCACTTTCGAAGAACAAAATGATCTGGTTTTCCCCATGTGAAAGGCTCAGTCGACTTATCCACTTGAGGACAAATATAAGCAGAAATAACCGCTTCACTTGGAAAAGAAGAAGGAATATGCCAGTTCTTGCTCACTTTTCTCTGGAAAAAAAGGGCACCAATAAATGCAGGATATATGATTTCAGAAACATGATAATTCCAAGAAACTAGAACACCTAAACCAAGGATTGTATGATTACATGCTTATCCATGAAAACTCTTGTTATGTCTCTAACTTGAGCTTCAGAATCGTTTTCGTGAGATGCAGATGCTTCTTCCATATTGCTTTGGAAGCAATTGTCATTATCACCAATTTTCGATCCTTTTTTCCTTGCACTAGAATCTGTTTGCGCACTGAAATTCCCCAATATGGAGGGATCTGGTGATTCAATCCACTCCCGGAATTTTTGGAGGCCATCTTCCTCAGGAAATGCATTTACAACCTCAATGGCATTCACAATGCCTATCCCACTACAACAGAAGGTAACATAAAAGATTTTAAATTAACTGATAAATTAATCAAGCAATCTTATGAAAGCAGACAACAGAATTATCAACTTCTGGAAGTGTTAAGCATATTTCCTTTTTTTTTTTTTTGGTGAATCAGAAACAAAATTCTCTTATCAACAATCAAGGGATTATGTGCAAACGAAAGAGAGGAAGAGTTTTCCTCCAAGAAACAACGCAAAAAATATTACAAAATACAATCTCAATCCCTTACAACGTCAGAGAAAAAGAAAACTTCTAAATTCCTTCCTTCGATGGTCCCAAAGAGCTATCCAAAAGTTTACTCTACTCTGATGTAGAGAATAGTTATGTATAGGGAAATGCATAAGAATGTGGCAAGACTAGCAAGACTTTGACAGAACTCTGATTAATTCAAGAAAACCATAAAAGAACCTCTTTTTTTATCAGTAAGCCCTAGTGCAAAATTACCATCCTAGAGCATAAAACTGCAGTGATTCGAGAACCTGCCTCTCTCCCCAGCTGAGAAATGAGTTTCTCCCCTTTACAATTCTCCGATGCCATCCTCTCCTCAAGTTCTACCTTTTATATCCCGATACAGCCACTAACAAAATAACTACTCTTCTACCAGAACAAAACAACCAACAACATCATAACAAACACTCATTTTCCTATACAAGCTAACTAATCATGGCCTATCAGACTTTGTAAAAGTGGAGCTGTTAGTTACCTGACTCCTTCAGTATAATCACTACCAAGAAGAAGTGCCATGCGAATCAATTTCTCTCTGGTTAGGCCAAGCTCAGTCTCAATGTCCTGATGGACGTATATTAACATAAGCAACGAGAACAATTGCATGGTTGAAATACGTCCAGGTTTGAAGAAGAAAACATGAAAAGGAGGTGAGACTAAAGATGCAAAAATTCCAAGTACTTGAAAACAGATCTGGTTTTTCTGGAAGGACAGAATTCTTTCAAGGGAAAATGCCCTAAAAATATTTGGATCTGGTCTCTTTAAAATTATACCTTCATGAAGTATGTCTCGACATATTTTCGATCATCAAATATATTTTTATAAACACTCCGTGCTCCAAACAAGAAAACATCAGAATCATCAGTCACAACACCATCAACAAGGTTTGCTAGTTCCATATAAGCACACTGAGCTTCAGCTTCCATTGGTGCAATAATATATGGTAAGCCAAACATTTGCAGCAGCTCCTACAAAAAGTCAGATTGATGTAGGACAAAGATAGATTAAACAAAAAGCGAGAAAGAGGAGAGGGAAGAAGAGACGAATTGAGAGAAGAAAAAGATGAATTTAGGACACAAGAGAACAATAGGGAGGAAATGCGTGTATTCAATAATATAAATCATGGTTGACTCCAAAGAGAAAAATAAAAATACTTGGTCTATTTATTGTTGAACAAAACCTAACAATAAGAAAACATAACCAAATAATAATATATAAACTCAAGTATATCCTCAATAATCCAGATAAGCACATATTTAAATTCCTACTATCTATATCTTTGTTCCTCGTCACAGATGCTTCAAAGTTCAAACCTTTAAGGAATTCATCTTTGAAAACAAAAAACTTGACAGAAGAAAAGGCATAGATTGTGGACGAGATCACTCAAAATGAACAGAGAAGGAAAGAGATAATAATAATCTTAGACCACGTATCAAGTTTTCAAGTCCCAATTGGTGACGGCTGTAATGACACCTCTCGGTTCACTAGTTGGCCAAATTTCATTTATTTAAAAAAATATGTAACAAGTTGATATGCTAAGAGATTAAGTTACTGTGATTTCCACCTGAAAAGATTTCTTCTTGTTTCAAGTGTCATTTTGTCCTTGAAAGAGCCACAAAAAGAAGCAAAAAACAAATCAGTCCTACAAATCACTAAACTATGACCATGTATTTGCTCAACATCCAATGCCAACATTTTATACACACCTGACACTCTGTGAACATCTCACCACTGACAGATTCTGCATTACGCTCCAGCCTTCTCTGCTCATCCCCCAGGTCCATACGTTCTTGGCCTAAAATTTTTATTTCTTCCTCCAAATTAGCCTCTGCAACATCAATGTGCAGATCTTCATTGTCCTTCAATGCAGAATTCTCCAAGCTATGCTTGATTTCCTGGAAACAATCTTCATGAATTTTTTTGGCAGTCAATTTTTCTTCGTTTTCAATATTACATACCAATTCATTTGTTACTGCTTTTGACAAGGGGCGTGGTGGTTCAGCTTCGCAAGCAGTTTTCTGATTATCAATCAAACTGGAATCAGGAACACCACCACACAAGAAATCAGAAGTATCTTTTTCACAGCTGTTGGAGGAGGTAGAGAACACTCCAACCTCATTAGAAGTACACAAAAGGCCCTCTGCAGCCACATTGATCTCCTTTGCTTTTGGAGGAGTAACAGATTCTGCATAAGGTGCTTCTTTAGATGAATTAACCATTTTACTTGCATCCTCCGTTGGTTCTTTAGATGAATTAACCATTTTACTTGCATCCTCCGTTGGTTGATCAGAAGGAAAATCCGTGTCAAATTCACGTGGTGCATCTAGCAGTATCCTTGAGTTATCAGAATTGTATTCTACAGCAGAATTCAATGGCCTTCCACAAGAATCGGTGATTTTTGAGATACTTAGTGCACCTGCACCATCCAGCATTTGAACACCATCCATTTCACAAGTCAATCTGTGTTGCCGGTTACCAGTGTCTCCTGGAAAATTCAGTCCTCCTAACGTATCTTTTTGGTCAAGAAACCTCTTACCTGTACAATCACTTCCGCTGGGAACTTCAAGTTTTTCATCATTAAGCAACGCACAACTAAAATTCTTATCTAAATCATCAAGACTTCTTCTTATTGCCTCCTGCAAATCAGCCTGTTCTTTCAAAGCACCTTTGGAATTTATTTTTTCTGATTCAGCTCCTAGAGGCATAGTATGTTGAGTAATCTCACAATCTCCTTCCTCCCACTCCACTTCACTATCCTCACTATTGTTGTCTTCAGCAAAAGTGTGCTTTGTTTTCAAGTTATCATCAGAGAAACTCATATCCTTTGCTGCAGTAATACCTTCCTCCCAATCACAATCTGAATCAGAAGCAGAAGACAGTTTTTTTGGAGTAATATCACCAGAAGATACTTTCAAAGGATTTTCTGCTACTAAACGAGCAAATGTATCATCATCTTCATGAAAACACTTCATGTCAGAATCATCTTCAAAAGAAATTTCTATAGAAGCACCATTGTTCAACAAGCAGTCATGATCTGTCCCATTCAACTTGACAGATTCAGCACCATCATGTGAAGCATCTGTGGCACTTTTTGCAGAAAAGTTTGTTGGGACAGCACTGTTACTTTCACGTATCAGGCAGTCAGCATTTTCCCTCTCTTGTTCAATCTCTTTCATCAAATCCAAGTTCCTTTGTAAATCACGGGTCATACGAATACCCATAGCTCTCACTCTACTAACACGAACATGCCCTCTCTCATCAAGATAGGTCTCAATATTGTCATCAAAAACCCTTTTAGACTCGTTGGGTTTTGATGCACTCACAGTGTTCGGCTTACTAGTACTTGCAGCAGCATGCAAGACACTAGAATCACCTTCTTCCGTTGCCTGTTGCTTATCTCTAGATTTCTCAGCTCTGCCAGACCCAGACGTAAGTTCCCTGAAAGATCAAAGCATCACAGAGGAAGTCATGCAAGATATATACCAATGCATCAAATTTGCCAGATGGGAGAAGTTTACTTGTCATGAGAAAATGGGAAATAACTACTCAGCACTCACTGCTTGTTTCCAGTGAAAGATGTTGAGAAGATAAATTCTCTGCCTGCTTCAGATGCTATCCGTGAAGTCTGTACACCACCTACTCCTCTTCCAGAAGCAACCTTCTGCACTTGATCTATCTCCCGGCGGAAAGCAACAGTTTTAAGGTATGCTTGTATTTGTAGCTCAGAAAATTTTGTAGGGTCCTAAAGTGCATCAAAATGACCATTAGATGACAACCACAAGTTTCAAAAGAAAATATGAACCAGAGTTCAGATGCTAAAACATCGATTTGATTTGTCCTGAAGATGTAAAATGATGAACGATGAAGTGGCAGCATAAAAGTAGATGGCAAAGCATCCATGCTTATACTTCTGAACGTATCATCTATCATGTAATTCAACCTACCTGCTTGGAAGCCAAAATCCTAAAGGACTGAAGACAGATTTCAGGTGGAAAAATGTATAAAATTAGCATACAAACCCCTAGTAAATTTGATCTATTTCTTGAACTTCCAAAAAGACAATTGTTAGTCAAAATTGCTGAGATAAATTCCAATAACAATGAGAATAAAAAAAATGCCTTTCTTTTTAATACCACTGAGGTCGTTGCTAGTAAAAGACATCTATTAGTTAGAGATGTCTCATGCCACACCATATTTGCATCTCACTACATTTGTTCAATGACCCACCTTCTTGACTTTTTGATACTTTTGTCTGTTTTCTGCCATCAACCTCTCTCTAATCTACACATATGAAGATCAATAACCAATGTCAGCGCAAAAGAATGCGGAAACGTGAAAAGCTGGTGCATAGAACCAGACATAACCAGGTGCATATTCACTTACTTGAACAAGGAGATCAAGTTGCATGGATGGAGGCAAAGAAGCTAGTATGGATGGGTCAACTTCATCATCCATTGCTGGCTGCAAAAGTTAATCACGTAGATCAACATCAACCAAATGACTGCATCATAACTGTAAATAGGATAGAAGTACAGCAATTACTGAACAATACTTGCACATAATCTGAGTAACCCAAAAGGAGAGCATCTCTCTGAAACTGTTTTTCAGGCATCAATTTGAGCCAACAAAACATTGATATAGTGTGTAAAAACCAAGCAAATTTAAATTGGTTGACAAATTCCTATAGCTATTTTTAAGTATGAGATCATTCTCAGAGGTCATGATATAAAGTATTTTTATAAGAAGAGATCCCAATTTAATGTGAATCAGATAAAAACTACTAAACCAGTTTAACCTAACCTATGTCAGCACATGAATATCAGTGACAGTGGGCAATAAACTAAATATTTGTGTGCCGTGAAAATTACCAGTATCATCTCTTCATCCCCATCCTCGGATTCGTCCATATCACTATCCTCTGCAACAGGATAAGGAGCAGCAGACGTTGATGCATTGTTATTTAAACTTCTACTTTCTTCTTCCATTAGAGATGCTGCCAACCTAAATTACTCCAAAAAAAAAAAAAACCTGTCAACAGATCTCGTAACCAGTAACTAGAAAATTCCAGCAGAAGCATATATGCAGCTTACATTTCATCCAGCTTTTCCTGATTGCAACTGCTCGACGCCATACCATCCCTTTCTAAGTTGCTCCCCACCTTGTCCAACAGGATCTTCTGACCATTAGCCTCATTATCCCGCCTTTGTTTCTGGTTTCCAACATCTTCCTCAGTTTCATACCTTCATTTCCCCAAGTAACAAAGAAGAATTACATGGAAGCATACCTGAACAAGAATACTACGCTGCCATGATGGAGGTAAAGCAGCAAGCACAGAGGGGTCCACTTCACCGTGCATATCTGGCTACAGAACATATAAATGAAATTTATAACATAAACCAACTATAGTAGACTTACATCACTAAATCGCGAAATGGAACTAATAATGCAAGCAGCTAGTTCAAGCCAATTTAAAAGATGCTAAATCATCAAAGTCTCCCTCTCCCTCCCCCTCTCCCTCTCCCTCTCGCTCTCCCTCCCTCCCAATAAATTCCAGCTTCAATTGAGTCAATATATTTTCCCATTCAATACCAAAAAAGAGAGATACAAATCAAAATGGACCGAAAATGTTAAACGGTATAATTAACTCCACTATCCAAATGGTAGAAAATACAACTTACCAGTATCACTCCACTATCCAAATGGTAGAAAATACAACTTACCAGTATCACTTCTTCACATTCATCACCATCCTCTTCGCAGGGAACGGTAGGTGACATTGTTGAATTGTTAGCTAAACTCCCACCTTCCTCTGCCATAATAGATGCTGCCAACCTAATTAATGATTAAGAAAAAAAATTAAATCACATACTTCAAAAACCACTTATAAATATAATCCTCAATTCGGCTCACATTTCATCTAGCTTTTGCTGGTTCTCATTAATGGAGCTCAGATCATTTTCTCTCAGAATACTCCCAACCGAGTTGGCCTGATCGGGAGAAACCTTCTTACCCTTGACATCGTTCTTTTGTTTCTCCTTCTGGTTCTTGATATCGTCCGCTAACTCTTTCAACTTCAATGCCTTAAGCTATCAACATGAATCAAAGATGAAAAGGTCAGCATTAAATCAGACGCTCCAAAGAAAAATCCCAGAACTAACAATCTGTTCCATAATGAAGATACGGCTAAAAATTCTTCCATCTTCCACACTTTTGTCATTTTGCTCCACGGAAACAAGCAACAAAAAAAATCTTGCCAAAAAGAACTAATAATCTGTTCCATTAGCGTGATGAGCTTCACTCTATAACAAGCAATTAAAACCGAAATCGGACACGAATCGAGGGAAACTCACATGGTTAAGCAGCAATTTCTCGGCGGTCTTGCGGACCTTGGCTTGGGCGTTCTCGCGCTGTCTCCGGCGCGCAATAACGGTCCGGCGCTTGAGCGCGGGGGTGCCGCCATCAAAGACGAAGACCGGCTTGGTCCGAAGAAACAACAGCTTGCAAATCCTGCGGAAGAACCCAAGCAAATGCGCGTTCCTCACCATCTCTCCTCTCTCGTCCCTCATCGCCTTCATGAACTGAATCATCCATATGCTCGCGTCTGTCCACGAAAAATCACAAAATCAAATTCGTATTGCATTCGTGCACCAAGAGATGAACTGTGAAATTAGGGTTAGGGTTGGCGGTCGTTACCGATGGCGACCTTTTTTCCGGCTAGAGTTTCGACGGAGACGCGGCGGCCGACGGGGGCGAGGAGTTCCCAAATACCGTGGACTCCCATTTCTCGTTTTCGCTCCTGATTTGCAGTTTCTCGTTGCCGCCAAGTTGTATTTATATAAGAATTTTAGATTAAAGTCGGCTTGAACAAAAACACAGCAATACGACGGCATTCC